GTGGGAAGACGAAGATGGCTTCGGCAGGGGGAGGGGAGCGAACACCACAGACAGTTGTGGACACACACATGGGGACAGATGCATCTTTTCTATCTCTCTCTGGACAGATGGCTGTCAGGGCAGCCTGAGCCTAGGGCAGGTGGGGCTGCCGCCCAGGGAAGGAGGCCTCTCCCAGCTCAGGTGCAGGACCCCCGGTATAGCACAGAGGCTCTGAGATAAAACTTCCACATGGCTTACCCACACACGCGGTGGACAGATGTCTTCTCTCATGGGGAGGTGATGCCATTTTGTTTTCTTTGGGAAGGGAAGCCCCCCAAGTTAAGGGCTGGCAGTGGAGGTACTGCCGTGGAATTCATCCCTGGAGCCCCCCACCACAGGCTGCGTGACGTGTGTGTAGCCGGCTCGGGCCACGGCAGAGGGGACCATCTTGCCACATTTCCTTTGCAAAGTCACCTTAGAGGCTGGCACATGGACGGCTGCCGCACTTGGAACCGAAGCCCACTCCCAGAATGGGGCAGTTTCTAGATACCCAGAACTCAGGACTGGGTAATTCTGGGTATCTGAGACCAGGAGCTCTGAATCCAACCACAATTGGGCCAAACTAAACCGCAAAATATAGATTAAACCCATGATTAAAAAAAAAAAAAGGGTGGGGGGAGAGAGATAAAGAGAGAGCCGGTTCAGAGCAATATTGTGTACAGAAAATTAAAAATATTCCTCAAGGAAGCCCCGATGTTGTCTGAGTAAGGCAGAATGTTAAAGAACCTGGTTGTCTAGCAACCAAGTGCCCCCAGGAAAAAGGCTTCTTGCCGAGGAGCTGGGGAACATTTTTGATACAGGCGTGCACACACACACACACACGCACACACACACACACGCACACACACGCACACACACGCACACACAACATGTGAATGTATCCCGGCTGGGAGCGGCTGCTCTTACCTTTCGCCCCTCGGAGCACGAATCCGAAGCCCTCATTGTCTTTCTTCTGCAGGACCACCGTCTTCTCCTCGATAACGCAGTCACTGTAGAGAGAGTTCCGAGGGTAGCGACCATTATTGTAACCTGTCATCATCACGGTGGCCGATCCTCCGCCGGGGACGTTCATCATCGTAGCCAATTAATCACCCCAGCTCGCCGGATCCAGGCAGCATGGAGGAAACTAGGCAGCACAGGGCGCAGGAGGAGCGAGGCGGCTGGGGGGGCAGGCTAAGGGGATAGGCGGGCTCGGCACAATGGGGCTCGGAGGGGGGGGCGAGGCAGAGGCAGAGGCAGAGCGGGAGCGAGCAGCAGGAAGGAGTCATACACGGTGGGGAGGCCCCGCGCGGTGGCTGAGCGGCTGGCTCCAGGCACCAGAAAGCAAAGAAAGTAAGTGGCCCGGAGGACCCAGGGGCGGCAGCGTTAAGGAGCCCAGGCCCCATGCATCTTCCAGGGGGGCCAAATGAAATCAGCCGGAGGAGAAATGAGGCAGCAGTTTTGTTTCCTTCTTCTTGGAGGGGTTTTAAAAGAATCAAATTCTATTTGGCTCCCTGTAAGAGCCGGCAGCGGGAGACGCAGCGACCCCTCCCTCTCCGGCCGAGTGCAGGTGGTGCCCCCACAATCATCCGAGGAGCCCACAGTGCCACCGGCGACAGCTGCTCCGCGTCATCCCGCGCAGAGGAACCGCAGGCTGGCGGAGGGGGCGGCCGGGGCTCTGCTCCCGCGTGCCGGCGGGTGGGGGCTGCTAACGGGAGGGGGCAGGTCACTCCGCTAACAGCAAAGCCACTGACAACACGGCCTCCTTTGGGGGGTGACGAGGTGGGGGGCTTACAGGTTTCCCCCTTTTAGAGACAATCTAAAGCCACCGGCTGCCTCCTGCAACTGCATTTTTTTTTTCTTTAAAGAAACCCAAAAGCTCCAACTTTGCTTCGGCTGCCAAAGTCTCCCATCATTTACAGTATAGGCGCTTCACCACACGGTCGTCCACCCCGGAGGCACTGGGGGCCTCAGGACAGACGTGGACTTCCCGGTGGGCCACAGGACCTGGGCTAAACTGGGGCCCTTCCCCATCTTCCGGGGGCTGCATCCCTCTAGGATTCCGCCGCTGCCCCGGAAGTAAGTCCAGAGCTGGGAAGGCGGCTGCAGAGGGAAGGAGGAGGGGTGGGAGGCGACGTGGACAGGCTTTCTCCAGGGTCCGAGGGAGCTGGTGGAGGAGGACTGGGTGGAGGAGAAAGGGCCCTGCAGAGAGAGGCCAGGAAGGAAAGGATGCAAGGGGCCTGAAGAATTCATCAGGCCCCTGTCTCAAAGAGGGGAGGCCTTGGGATGCAGACAGCAGACGGTGGGAGCAATGTGCTGTCGGGCTCGAAGCCCAGACAGCTGAAGGTCAGTGCTGCCCAGCGCTGGATTCGCCCGCCGCCTGCAGGAAGCTCGCGCCCCAGCACGCAGCCAACTGGGAGCAGCACAGCGAACCCAGATGGGGTGGCCTCAGGAGGAGGAGGGACGGGGGTGCTCGGACAAGGTGATGGACAGCAGCCGGGCACTTCCCACTGCAAAGATGGGGCAGGGGAGCCTCAGGGAGGTGGGGACACAGCTGGAGAAGGCACATGCACTCTGACCCCCTCCTGAGCCGCCCGCCCCTGTATCAGACGCCCGAGCAAAGGAACTCGCCAGGGTGACCCCGTCTTCCAGGAAAGCACAGTGGGGACACACGCCCTGACAGCCTGCAGACACGCCATCCAGGATGATCCGCCACGGTGGTCTAAGGACTCTGGTGGTCCTTGGGCTCTGGCTCTGCCTTCTGCCCCAGGGACAGGCTGCCAAGTGCAGGAGCCCCAGCTCTGGGAGCTCGGTCATGACCCTGAGCCCCTTGGCTCAGCACCCCCCAGCCCACCAGACATTGGCTGAAGCATGGTCAGGAGTCCAGGCCCTTGGGAGCCCACGGGCACGGTCCGTGGCTGGCCTGGCCTTCAGTAAGTGACGGGGCTCTCTAAATCTCAGTTTCCCCTCACATTACAAGGCAGTGAGAACAAGCCACGGGCCTCCCAGGACCACCGTGTGGTCGGATGGGGAGATACCCACGACGGTGCGGTGGAAGGAGAGAGCCTCGGGGAGCTGTTCCTTTAACCGCCGTCAGGAACGGTGGCCGGCCTGGCTGTTAGCCAGGACCTGGGGAACCACAGGAGTGGAGGGGGGAGGGGCCAAGGCGGGCGGGGGCTCTGTGTGAGCAAGCCTCTACCAAGCCTCTCCACCCTTCTGTCTCCACAGCCTCCCCCAACCAGAATACAGACACAACTGTCTTCCCACCACCCCTTCAGTCCTCTCTGAACTTCTCAAAGGGGAGGGTGCCCTGGACCCGCGGGTCATTTAGTGCCGGGCAGGTGGAAACCGTACAACCGGCTCCCGCTTCTCCAGGGAGAGGCTCTCCGAGGGCCCTGGCCGCCGAAGCCACGGCCTCTTGCTCTGCACCTCTCTCTGCGTGAACAGCCTCCGGCAGGCAGCTCCCTGAAACCCCAGACAGATAACGCCCGCTCCGAGGGTCCTGAGCCCTGCTCTCCCCTGGGGACACAGGTGGCCCCCACGGCCCGCCCCTGCCCATCTCCGACGTGGACCTGTCCTGTGCTCCAGGTGCACAGCCCCACCGTGGGCCAACTCCGCCCGAGGGACGAAATGCCGCCCACGCCTGCCTCGGCCCTCGGGCGCCTGGCAGATGACCCGCTCATCTCCCACCAGCTCATCTCCCACCAGCTGTCCCCTGCCCCTGTGCCGGGAACATGTTAGGGGTGGTGCAGCTGGCTGGACACTTGTTGGCTACCTCCCTAGTGACCACACGGGGCAGGGACGTTCTGCTGTGGTGGGTGAGGGACAGCTATGGCATCACATGGTGCTCAGCCTAAATCCCAGCTCTGCTCTGACCCAAGGTCGCTCTGACCTTCAGAGCCTCTGGGTCCTGCTCTGCACAATGGAAGTTAATGAAATAACCCCTCCAAGCCTGGGTGCGCAGCAGGTGTCAGTATCAGAAGCCACCCTGAGGAGGGTCTTGTTTGCACGGCCAAGCCCCCTCCTCCCGTAAGGACCCCTCCCAGGCTCATGATGGACCCCGTCTCCTGAGCCCTCCCTTAACCCTCTCAGCCACTCCTCACCCACCCAAGAACTTTCTGACTCACACGTACGAGTACCACCGTCTTGCCCCTAAACTGCATGGCTCCGTCCTGCTCGCTGAGTAGATGCCTGTCTCCTTGGTCTCTGATATGAAGATGGACTGCCCCTAACTTCTCTCTTCTGCGTTATTTCAGGATCCAAACAGCCCCGGGCCCTGCCCATCATGACCTCCTCTTTTCTTCATTCACAGACAGACCCAGGTTTGAATCCCAGGTCAGGGACCTACCAGCTTAGCTACTCAGAGCCTCAGTTTCCCCACCTGCAAAGAGCGGGCAATAATACCAGCCTTTTAGGGACCTTGAGGAGCAAGTGAGATGAGGCCCCCATAACGAGGGACACTGCCCTCATTAGCATCCCCACGTGCCCTCTAGTGCCGAATCCCCCAGGAAACGTGGGCCGTGAAAGGCAGTGACCTCATCTCCTGGATCACTCCAGATGCTCACAGCACCCAGCACAGGACCATGCAGCCCATAACGTTTGTGGAATGGAGCAAGAGGGGCATGAACACGAGTTAGGAATCGAGCAGGGAGAACAGCAGTGTCAGTGGAGGTGGCCGAAGGAAGACACAGGGTTTCGAGTGAAGAAGCCTCCAGGGTGATGCCCGAGTTCCCAGGCATACCCGGAGGGCAGGGGCAGCTCAGCAACGTGGAGCGCCTACCGCATGCAGCTGGCTCGGCCCCGGGAGCCCAAGACGAAAGGGCAAAGGCAGTTCCTGGCCGTTAGAAACTTACAATCTTTATTGCAATCCATGAAGAGCTACGGGAAACTGGAACGGAAGGGTCATTCCATTCAAACAGGAGCTCACGCCTCGTTTTGTCCAACGGCACAACCACGTAGCATTTCCTCCACCCCCCCCCCCCCCCCGCCCCCCGCCACCAAGGAATCAGACCAGGAAGTCCACACTCTGGGCCTTAGGGAGGCAGCTTCCTGGAGAGGAGAAACCCCCAGAGGGCTCTATCTGCTGGTTTATGAATCTAAAGACTATCCCAGGACAACAGCTGTGGCCGCGTCCGGAAGCCGGGGCATTGAGACGTGGCTGCCACGGGAGCTGCGCTGAAGCCTGAGAACCAGAGGCCACCAGGACCTCAGCCCCGCCCCGTAGCAGCAGATCTGCTCTCTAGATGCAGCCCAGACACATCGAGATCTGACTTCACTGGGGCACGACCTCGTCACCTACACGGTCCCCATGCTGCTGACCTCGGCGTGCGCTCAGAAGTCAGGGCCACCTGTCCCTGGGGACAGGGCTTAGTGAAACAGTCCCTGACCCCAAGGGACCAGGCCACACCCCTGCTTTGCACCTTTCCCTCGCCTGGGACCCCGATCCCAGCCCAACCTTCCTGCTAAGTCTCCTCCAGCTCATTTCCACTCCCCTGAAATGCCCTAGACTTGGCCTTGTAACTCACTAATTCCCGCACACTGGGCCTTTGTAACGCCTCCCTGCCCGGTGCACTAAATTCCCTTTGCCCGCCCTCCCCCAACACGGGTTAACTCGCAGGCACTCTGAATTGGGCAGAAGCCATCCCAGATCCTCCCTACGAGGCGCGACATCACACCTTCTCTCCATGAGGGTCCCTTCGAGTCTTGCTTAAGCCTCTGATGGGGCCCTTCTCACCCACTAACCCATTAACTGTGGGCCCCCCGGGAACAAACATATGCCCCGTCCTCTCTGAATCTCCTTATGCGGCACATCTACTCTTGGTGAGATTCTGTGTTTGTTGATTAAACAAAAAAAATGTAGTCTAGCTATGCTCTATTCAAATGTGTTTTCTGAATGGGGCAGAAGGGCACTTTACTGTACCCAAAATGTACTCTCCTTTGCCTGCTTCCAGTAGCAGGAGCTGTGGAAGGAAAGGGGGTGGGCACCCAGCCCTGCCAAGTACAGCTGTAC